TAAGTACTTCCTAGGACTCGAGATTGCTCGCAATAGTGACGGAATGTATGTAAATCAACGAAAGTACATTCTTGATCTGATTCAGGATGCAGGTCTAATTGGTGCTAAGCCGATTCCAGTGCCAATCCCAAAGAGGACCAAACTGATAGCTAGGCAGGTCCTCTACTTCGAGAACCAGAGAAATATAGAAGGCTAATTGGGCGACTACTTTACTTAAATTTGACAAGGCCTGATATCACATATGGTGTACAGCAGCTTAGCTAGTTTGTGCATGCACCATGCGATTCTCATTGGGAAGTTGCTTTACATCTCCTGTGGTATCTAAAAGGATGCCCTTCGAAGGGGCTTTTCTTTCCTGCACAGTGTTCCTTCCGTTTGCAGGCCTAGCAGATGCTGACTGGGCATCTTGTCCAGATTCCAGGAGGTCACTCACCGGGTATTGTGTTTTCCTTGGTTTTGCACTTATTTCTTGGAAAACCAAAAAGCAAACTACAGTTTCACGTTCTTCGGCAGAGGCAGAGTATCGTAGTATGGGAAGTACAGTGTGTGAGTTGCAGAGGATCACTTATATCCTGAGAGATCTTCACATTCCTTTCCCACTTCCCATCTCTTTATGGTGTGATAACAAGGCGTCTCTGCACATCACCGCAAATCCGGTTTTTCACGAACACACGAAACATTTGGAGATTAATTTTCACCTGGTTCGTAATTTGTATAAATCTGGTTTTATCCTTCCACATTATATCCCTTCTCATGCTCAGCTTGCAGACATTTTCACAAAATCTTTTGCTGCCCCTCACTTTCATCGTCTTCTTTCCAAGTTGGGGATGGGTAATTTACACTAACCTCCACCTTGAGGGAGGGGGGGAGGGGGGAGATGACGGATTATCAAGCTTCAGATTTCAGTAGAGTTGATGAAGCTTTACTGGAGCAGGGTTGTAACAGAAGATTTAATGAAGCTCAGTCCGTAGTGATGGCCCAGTTTTGGAGTCCAATTTTAGAACATAAAGGAGATAAAAACGTATTCTCACTTTCCCACTTTTATCTCACGTTTTCCTTATCTTTTCTGTTATTTGTTATTGCCTTGCTGTTGTTTTTGATTGGTTACAACTGTTTTTTCTCCATCTATAAATGATGGAGATCAGTCCTGTTTGTTCGTAAGTTTGGAGAAATTAATTCAGTAAAGATTAGTTTGCTTTACTTCGTTCACTAAATGATTAAATAAATTTTAAATATATATTGAAAAATTAAAAGTAAAGTATAATTGAAATAATTGAATTATAGTAGTGTTATAATTGTCCAAAAAAGAATTCTCAATTGAGGTGACATTTAAGAGATTATAGAAATTCGAAACCACCTTATTATCCTTACAATGACGTGTTGGCATCATATAGATGCAATCACCTTCATTTCCGTTCCAAAAATAACATATTCCATGAGGTTTATTTTTCATGACATAATATATCACCCTAACAACAAAAAATAAATAGATACTTTCAATTTTACCCCTTTATTTCGAGATTATTATTTCATTATACTTATATTATTTTTTTCTTATTATTTATACAGATATAATTTAAATGAGGTGATTAGTTTCATATTAGAAAAATCCCACTTAAATATTTTCATCCAAGTGTTAAGATTCGACATACTTCGCTAACTCTTGACTATCAAGACGTTCTTTGGATTTGATAGGCCTCGATGACCGAG